GTTCTATTTAGCTCAAACCAGGACAGCTGCACATGGTTTGAACAGTGGTAACAGCACCCTATGGTCTATAGAAAAGAAATTTAGAGGGTACTACAAGGGAGGGGAGTTTTCTGGAATGAGGTAGAATGATAGAGAGCATGCCTAAATCCTGGGACGTACAAAGAAAAGTCCAACACCTGGTGAGAATTGACCCTGCAAACCCATCTCCCTAAACTGGCAGAAGTCTATGCACAGAAAAAGTGGGAAATGAAATAAGTTACCTCTTTCATCCTTCATAACTCACAGTGCAAGTACATCTTAAGAAACGAAGACAAAAAAATGCTATGAGAAGACAAGGGATGCATCTAATCCTTTAGCAAAACCTCCTTCTCGTGTGGCTAAAGGTGCTGCGCCAGCCCACTCGTGTTTGTCTATGTTCTAAACCCTTTGTACTTTGTTCTTACAGCCAAGTGTGGACCACGTGAGTTGCAAACCACAAACACCCATAAACACTGAGAAGCAGCTAAGTGTAGAGAGAACAATGGGCTCTTTAATGGGTCTAGGCACTGCTCATCTTAAATCCAAGAATTTACAGTCAATTCCAGCTGTCTTCAATTGTTCCTTGCTTGTAAAGAGCCTGTAAGTAAATCGTTAATTCAGAACTCCCTAGCTGTGATCATTAATAGATGAAATTCGGTGTTAAACCTTGCTCCAGTCTCTAGAGCACTGGCTCAGCTCTAGCATAGTGGTATCTTGGGTGCTACTTTGTACCTACATTTACCTTTTTGTGACCATCTTTTTAAACTGATGAGGGAAAAAACCCCCAAAATAACTCATAACAATTAATTTATTCATTTTACACTAATTTACCCTGTTTCCTTTTCTACAATGGCTGCAATATAATGTTGTTTCAGTAGAGCACCGCTTTGCAAATTTGGCTCAAGGAAACACTGAGCAAACAGCTTTTCAGAGAGCTTCAACTCAGCTGTCAGAAGGGGCAGCTTGGTTTCTGTGCAAGCAACACTCACATTCCAAACTGCATTAGAGAAAAGCCAGTGGGTTTGTATGCATTTTTATTATCAGTTCCAGATTAGGAATCTGATGCTAATTTCTTCCTAAAGCCTGTGTTTGCAGTAGAATTTATATTCTCAACAACAAAAAAAGAACTGTGATGTTTTTCCCTCACTAGCTCACTCTTTCTTTTTTTTTTCCTCCCTCTGGCTTTACTCCAAGGACCTTTTCTGCCTGTTCGTTACATTCTCAAGATGAAGCACCCGATGGTTACAGCAGTGCTGGTAGTACTGGTGCAGGTTTCTCAGAGTTTCCCTGCCCTGTACCACCGAGGTTGGTGGAGGCTGTTAAAGGAAGGAGACAGTTGTGGAAAATGCGATTTGACACTTTGCTCTGAGCCAAAAGACTGTCCAGCCGGGACTGTACTGGACCCTTGTGGCTGCTGCCCTGAATGTGGAAATGTCGAAGGTCAGATCTGCGACCTGGACCAGGGCAATCATTTTTATGGGCAATGTGGGGACAACCTTGAGTGCAGGTTGGATGCTGATGAAGCAAGGTTTGGGGAAGTCCCTGAACCCCAGTGTGTGTGTAAGTCTCAAGAGAGCATCTGCGGATCTGAAGGGAAAACCTACGAGAACATCTGTCAGTTCAGCAAGGCTTACGCTACGAAAAGAAACATCAGCGTGAAACATAAAGGACCATGTGAATCAGGTAATACGTACAGAGGCACTTTCTAACTGAAAAAAGATCAGATTCTTATTTTTAGATGTCTTACTAGGTGCTCTAGTCTAACTTTATTGAACTAATACTGCATTTTTGTTCTAATTATCGTTATTTTGTTATAATACAGCTCTGTGTTAAGCATGTAGTTTAGCAGCTGGTACTTAATCTTGCATGTTATAAGCCTCTGTTTTAGACTAGTGGATTTAAATCACATGGTGACTAATAAACCATAGATCTGCAGACTAGCTCTGCTCTGAATAATCAGAGTATGAGACATTTTCTACAAAAACTGTATGAGTAGTTGGAACTAGGTAAACAAATAGGGTAGTCCGGGAATAGTGGACAAATACTTATTAGTATCACATAGATACGTATGTATGTGTGCATGCACGCGTGTATCCACTTGTGTGTATATATGGTTAACAGTGAAGTAGAGGCAATAGAAGAAGATAGGGCTTAATTAATAGGTCTGTTCTTTTTACAAAAAAGTCCAAAATAATCAAATTTTGTAAATATCATCCAAAACATTGAGGTAACCAACCCATGAAATAGAAATCTAAAATTAGAACAAAATCAAACTGAAATAATTTCCCTAAAACCACTCCAGTGCGTGAACAGTTCTCTGCAGTGATGGTTAGTGGAAGGATTCTTAGCTGGGTTGTATAGGGGAATCCTGCCTCCTTCTCATCCGCTGTTCTCGTTCCTCACCTTATTACAAGTCTTTACTCCTGGGCACCTTTCACCTAAGTCACATGAATATAAAATGAAAAGGATAAAATGAACAAGCTTTTGTTTTCTGAATGAGAATCTTCTTTTAAAAAAAAAGTTCATTAAATACTTTCTCAAATGAACCAAGTAGAAGAGGTCTCTGGGTCACAAATGGGTCACAGTTCTGGGAATCTGAAATGGCATCTCCGGCAAAGGTCCATGTGAGAATAACTTGGGTACATTTTACCCACTCCTTGCTAGCTATCTGTAGCCTCCAATTTAGACTGTATGCTGTGCTTTTATATTCAATGAACACTGGATACTGAATACTTCAAAGGAAAAGCGGTGAACAGCTAATACCAGACTTCTGTCCTCTTTCTCTATTTGCAAGAGAAACATCCATTAAAGAATCCCTTATTTGCCATTTAGGTTATTAAGCTGGGAAATTAGGCTTGTCAGTAAAGAGACATTCAGAAAACTCAGTACGTACCTGTTCACGGTATGCCTGAATATTTCTGATTAAAATATCTTTGCGGCATAACCCCTTCAGGAAGATTTCATTTTCAAGTGCCACACAAGTAGCAACTGATGTCAACTTTGCAGCAGAGGTAGCTTTTCAGGCATACAAGCTTAAAGCAATGGTCTGCTTTAATTAATTAAACAGACCTGGCCACGTACAAAAAGCTTTAATTTGGAAGCGCTATCACTTTTAATTGCTGGTGGTGTCACCACCAGGCCTTGCAGTCACCCCTGAGGTGCGTAACACACTCACCAAGCAGGAGGACCGAGCTCAGCTGCTCTGCACACAGGCATCACCCCCGTTTCCTACTGCTTCCCTGAGTCCCCAGAAAGTCTGAACCTTCTCTCCAGGAATGCTGAGAAATTTCCTGGGATAGTGCAGCTTACTGAATTGTACGGAAGCCTGGAGGAAAGTTCATAGCCCTGTCAGCGCTGTGCAGTTTAGTTAAGAAAAATGGGGCCTGTCTCCTTGGGTGCCCAGCTGGTGTATGAGCCCAGCTGCAGCAGAGCACTTGAGCCTGCGGTGGGTGCTGGGCTTAACAGGGAGGGGGGAGCACAAGTGCCCCTCTTCTCAGCCCCTCTGGGCAGCAGCTGATCATGCCGGTTTGTAGATCACGTTTTAGACCATGTAAAGAGCCTGGGCCTCACAGCAAGCAGCAGGGCACAGAGGTGCTACCTCAGGGCACCATGCCCTGGTCCCCTGTAAGAGTCTACCAGTAAGGCATAAGGCCCCTCTTTGCCACGACAGCTCCCTAAAGCAGTGCAGTGGGCATGTGAAAGCGCGCTGTGATTCAGACTGGGTTTTCATGGCTGCAACGGATGACAAAAAGCAACAGGGAGTCTGGCTCAAAGAGCAGCAACCTTGCTGCAGCGCTTGCTGCCTGCTGACTCCGATTTGCATGAGAAACAAACACTGAACACAGTGGGGTCTTGGTACCAAGCTATAAATGTAACCTTCACTCAACTCAAAGTACTTTGTTTTGTTATTTCTCCTTCAAAGCATCTGCTGTTTCCTATTGATGCCAAATGGATTAATTGTATACAGCAACCAATGAATAAATAAATAACAATAAACTCCTTTCACCAGAAGAGTATAGCCTTTCATCTTTGTCTATGACCAGAAAAAGGGGAAGAAAAAGGCCTAGCTCCCTAACGAAACACTGAAAAAGCCCTTCTTTTCCTGAAAGCCAATTTTGATCAGTTTATCTAACAATTTACCAAGGTTACTAAAATACATTGATTATACACGGATTCTTCACGCTTAATCCATCCCCATTCACATTCAAACCTCTCTTGCTGATGATTTAATGAAGTAACAGAGCAATCTAGCAGTGATTCTCTTTATATTTAGCTGTGAAACATAGTTTTATTTAAACATAAATTTTGGAGTAAAAAACAAGTAATTCATTAAATTTTCTGCCATGTTCACAAAATCAGACAAAATTAGACTAGCACAAATTAATGCATTAAGGGGGAAAATATTATCTCAATCATTAGCCTGGAGTGATATTTGGTTAATGTTGATTGTGAAAGGTGAAGTCGTATTTTGACTTTTCCTGGCTTCTGGTTTATGTCTTCTGTAACACATGGGGATAATTCATGACTGGGGCTGTAGAAGGAAAGAAGTATTCACCTCCAGACGCCAAGCCATCAGAATACTCTCTATGGCTATTGAGAAAAATTGATCTACTCCAAGAATCAAAGTGACAGGTTATCATAACAGGAAAGCTCTGTTTCTAAAAACACATTTATGCAAAAAAAGTACACACAGATATGCATGCGATAATACACAACATATGAAACACTCAGAAATGAAGTTTGTAGATTTCTGTTAAAATGCTCTATCATTACTTCAATTTTCTTCTGTAAAATGCAGCAAAACGGTGTTGTGAGACACATTTTATTTTTGGAGGCACTTCAAGTTAGAGTAGGCAATGCAAATATTTATTGTGCGTTCAGACTCAGAAAAGACAGTCTGGTTAGATCAGACCTGTGGTACTTCCTATGACTTTGATCTCACGTGACGCCAGTCCCGGTCAGCTCTGGTCCCACAAGGCCTTCAGTACAAGTCCTCAGCTGGGTCCTCAGACCATACCGAGGCATTTCCATCTGAGCGATCGTCTAGATTCTCGTACAGTTAATGGACAAAGTGGTATTTCCAGTGAGGAATTAACCTTAGTGTAGGCAGTGTTAGACAAATTTCTCATGCATGAACAGCTATAATGTATAATGTATAATTCGGACCCTTATGTCCTTGAGGCTAAGGAAGTGTTTACATGGCTTAACTTCAGTTAAGTTTAAGCTTAACTACAGTGGGTTTATCATTAACAGGTGTATGGTTGCACTAAGTTTTAATAATTCAAATTATGTTTTAATATTAGACTCTATGTGATCAGTTCATAGGCAAAAAACTTCTCAACCAAGATATTCAGTTAATGCTGATTTGAATACAGAAGTTTGAAATCACATACAGGTTCTGAATGTGCAGTTCTCAGGAGAGAGCAAGCATTTAAGGGTTTAAGTATCCTAGTTTGGAAACCTTTGGAAGAGTACCAGGAGTGTCTAATGAGGCATTCATAAACGGAGAAATTGATACTTTGATGTTTACTCTTTTTGCAATTAATTTTAATCAGTATGCATTTGATATTTTCTGCGCAGATCTCAATGTATTAGAAACTTTGCTTAAAAACCTGGAACAAGCTGCTACAATTTCAAATGCTGGAGCATAAATGCTGCACCTACATATTGATTCAAATATTGCAAGTAAAAATGTATTAATTATTTACTGTAAGTTTATATTTCCAAGCACCAGGGATTTGTACAAAAATAAAAGTAATAATTAAATACATGTCTAATGGCCCAGAAAATGCGTTCGTTTTTAAACACTGGTATGGAAATAGAAATAAAGCAGACTTTAGAGGGAAAAACATTTCTTGCTGAAGACAAATAGACCAGGAAGAAAACCAGACATCTCCAAAATAAGAAAGCTGTGATAACAGTAAATAAGTTATTTTGCTCTCTGTTGCTAAATATAATCCCATCCTGTTAACATTTAGTATGTTCACACATGCTTACAGAGGAATATGTATTTAAATCATGTACAAACGCATCAAGTGATAGTTTATTTTTTAATGTCTTCAACTTCCTGGACTGGCTCCCTCTCGTGGTTAACATCGGCTTTTTCTTTGGGAAAAGGTGGGAGAGGGCAATTCAGAGGCAAGGGGGATGAGGGTACGGAAACAGGAAACAAGTAAGTGGAAATCACATTTATTACTTGTTGCATAACAAGAACATCAAACGAAATTGATAGCAATTGAGGATAAATGTGAAATGTATTAACACTTCTATTCTGTAACTTGCTGGAAGAGTTCCATGAGAGAGAGATGAGAATTTAGCAAAGTTCAAGGCAATTATGTACTCAGTAAACGAATTCTGACAAGCTACCAATCTCAATATTTTAGCTTTCAAGCTAAGCAAAACATAGTAGAAATAAGGAACTATCATAGACTCATTAAGGTTGGAAGAGACCTCTAAGATCATCAAGTCCAACTGTCAACCTAACACCACCATGCCCACTAAACCATGTCCTGCAGTGCCACATCCAGGCACTTCTTGAACACCTCCAGGGATGGGGACTCCGCCACCAACCTGGGCAGCCCCTTCCAGCGTTTGACCACTCTTTCAGTAAATAGATTTTTCCTAATATCCAATCTAAACCTCCCCTGGTGCAACTTGAAGCCATTTCCTCTTGTCCTGTCACT